GTTTATTGGCCAAACATGGACAAGGACATAGCAGACATGATAGAATCATGCAAAGGATGCGCGCTTGCAGCAAAAGCTCCAACCACGACCTGCAAACCATGGCCAAACACAGACCATCCATAGCAAAGAATTCATATCGATTTTGCAGGGCCTATAGACAACATGTACTACCTCATTGTTGTGGATAGCCACTCAAAATGGCCTGACGTCCTACAATGCAAAAGACCAACCACAAACTGCACGATCGTATTTCTACACGAGCAATTCGCGAGTTTTGACGTGGTAGATTGTGTAGTTACAGATAATGGCACTCAATTCACATCAAGTGAATTTAGAGACTTCGGCAAGTCATATCAGGTGGACCACATTACAACGCCTCAGTTAAAAAAAAAAAAAGTTAAAAAAAAACCGTATCGCCTCATAAGAAATATTTAAATCCTGGCGATAAAGTCTTTTTCAAGGCTTACAAAAACAGCATAACATTCTGGGAAGTAGGCACCATAAAACAAAGAATTGGCGAACTGGTCTATATTGTCCAAGGACCGAAAAACACTAACGAACGCCATTGGAACCAGCTCAGAAAATGCCGGTTGAAGGAATCGGAGGAATCACTACACAATAACTATGAAGAGCCGATCGAGGTAATTTTCGATCACGTCGATCTCGACACACCCTATATCTCTCCTGAAGTGCGACGCTCAGGAAGGAAAAGGAAATTTACTCAACCGCTCGACGTAAATCCCAAGAGAAAAAAGTATTAACAGTTTTATGGGTTTTTTTTCTCCTTTTCAAAAAAGAAAACAAAAAAAAAACTCTTGGAAGTAGGGGGGGTTGTGAGACCGTAACATACCTACAACATGGACTCTTCCAAGACTATATAAAGTATGCGATATAACACTCGAGGAGAAGAGGAGGAAAGAGAGAGTATATTCTAATACCGTAGTATCAGCCGCGTAATATTGGACACTAGCACATAGTAAGCTCCGCTTACACTTACACTATCTTTGTAACATTTTTGTTTAATATATCTTTCTTACCTCTAATCCGTGTTCCGTGTTTTTCCTTCCGTGGTCCCAACTTTGGGCTCACATCAATTATATATATATATATATATATATATATATATATATATATATATATATATATATATATATATATACGTATTAGAAAAAAAAAAAAGATCTCTAATAACACAGGTACAGAACCGAGTTTTTACAGAAAACGAAAGACATGCACCTCTTTTAATCCGGACAACAGTAAGTGAACGAGCATTTGAATTTCACGCAGGTGGCATTGTGTGCCAGCGCAAATTTGATACAAGTGTCTAACAGTCGGTGATGCTCTTGAGATATGGCAGATGTATAATTTGTGTTTCAAATGGGGATTTTTGAATCATTATTTCGTAACTTCCGTTGATACGACAAAACCAATAATGGGGCAAAGGTCTGGTGTCATGTGTGCCGGAAAAGCGGCGGTGTTCATGTAATAATGTCATAAAATAATTAATTGTTTTTGACGTCTGGATAAATTATTAAATAAATGACCTTCTCTGTCCCCCAATTACGCGTCTGTAGTTCCTGAAACAGGTTGACTTCATTCGTATCGATGTCACAAGAATCAGTGTTTGAGTTTATACAGTAACGAAAAGCAAAGCAGACACACTTTGTATAGACATATTTTTGAATATTTTAGTTTGACAAAAAGTAACCGTATTTGACGGTATAAACGTCCCACGAATATATTAGATGCACTTCCTGTTTCGGTAGGGCATATGGAGGGAAAAAATGTTTGTACTGCTTTTGAACCTGTAGTGTCTGAATTATCAATGCGTTACAAAACATTGCAAAAGCATTTTAGCTATAACCGAAAACTTTATTGTATATACAAAATCAAGCTAGCTGTACATTTGAAGATAAACCAAGAAATCGAACAACATTCCCTGCATGATTACCGTAATAACATATTGAAACAAGAGTACAAAAACGTTTTATAAAAAAAGCAACAATATCACTACAATTGAAAATAAACCAAAACGCATTTAATCAATGACTTGCATTTCCTATCAGTTACGTTTCATTTTTCTGTAGTTTATATCTGGTTAATGATAAAAGTGATTTGTGGTATATTTAGGGATAATACGTCAACCATCGCCGAAAAACGTCTCCGGTAATGGGTTTCAATAATTACCTGCAAGTAAATCACAATGCATCAACTGCAGCTGCAAATACCCTAAAAAAAGCAAAAAGCAAAGTAGAAACATAGAAAAGATAAGTCCATTGATAGTCAATACTCTACCCGTACCAAACAAGATGATTTAGACAGACCCCGTAGTGATTACAAAGTACAGAGTTAAATACTGAAACCGAAAGTTTTATTCTTGCTGCATAGGATCAATACTTGCTAAATAGAAATTAACAAGCACTCATACTGAAACATTGGGTTAACCTGAAATGCAGACTCTGTGATGAATAACCAGAAACAATTGACCATCATGTATCAGGTTGCATGTTGTTATCACCTACTAAATAAAGAAATCGACATCACAGAGTGGGTCAATGCCTTCACTGAAAAATAAGCAAACATTTACGGGATGCGAACGACAAGAAACTGGTATGAAAATAATCCAGACCCAGTTACAGAGATAAGACCTTTAACAAATTTATGGGGATTTTACAATACGCACACAGAGAAAAATTAAATCTAAGCAAAGAGACATCGTAATCAAAGAACACAAAAACAGAACGTGCTTTCTTATTGACATGTCAGTCCATAATACTGTACGGTGTGCGAGGGTTAAATTTGTCGCCATTTTATATTTTTAATTTCGCGCATGCGCTTTGTGTTTTTTCAATTGCGCACTATAGTAGGGTCCGTTGGGCACCGTCTGTGAGAAAAAGAGCACCATAACGCCATAAAGTACATGTCACAATGTTTGGGTGTAAATCTGAGAACAGTGCAAAGAATTCAAAATAATTTGGATGAGTCTGAAAGCCATTAAGAAAGTGTTTGACGTTATCACGAGGGATGGCGACGGTATGCCTCCATTCATCTTTCTACAGGGCCTCAGACTAGACACGGAGGCCTACATAAAGTGCCTTGAGGGGTGTAGTGCTCCTCTGCGTCAAGAGGATAGCTTCTGGAAGACCATATGTTTGGCAATAGGAATCTGCATAATGCCACAAAAGCGGGAGAACCCCGTCATGGCTGTCAGACAATTTCTGCGACCACATTATTCCATAAATCTGGCCACCTAATTTCACAGACTGCAACCACCTCGATTATTATGTTGTGCGCAAGTGATCGAGAGACCACAAAACTCCCTGTAACACAAAAGATGAACTGAGGGCAATGATTATAGCAGCATTTTTCTAAACTAAAGAGATCGTCCAGAAGAGATGCAGGAGATTCCGAAGTCGTCTGGAGGCCATGGATGAAGCAAATGACAATTTTATTGAATAAATGTACTCTTTAATATCTCAAGATATTTGTGTGTAATTGTTAAAATGTGATGTCAGTGTTCTTTTCATTTTTGGGTAATTTAGACAATTTATCCATCGCATCCTGTATTTTTGAAAATCTTCAAAAAACTGTTAAAACTTCAGAATCTTGAAGTAGAAATCTAAAAATGTGGTATATGAGGATATCAATAATTCCAGTTGTAGTTGGAGCACTCGGATTGATTGGAAAAGGTTCCGAAACATTCATTAAATAGATTCCTGTTAGCCCATGCCTTAAAGAAATACAAAAAAAAGTTTACACATATGTCCAGCTGACACATTACAAAGTGCTTTATCTATGTAAAATTTGTGCGAAAGTATATTAATAATAATAATAATAATAATAATAATAATGAACTGAGTAAATGTTATATTCATTTACATGTTATTTACTCCGGAGAAATGTATGACTGCATATCATCTCCCCCAGCAATGGGTTAAATAATAGGCCTTGTATATGAAAAAAAGCCGTAGAAAAAAAAGTTAATCAATTACTGGGATATTGAGGGGGCTTGCTGCCACTTAATCTTCAGTGCACTTTATTAATGGCACATACAGTCATTAAGGAAATAATAATAATAATGTTGCTAATAATAATAGTCATGATGTTGCTAATAATAATAATAATAATGTTGATAATAATGATAATAATAATCGATTAGATTTTTCATATGTAAAATGGGTGTCTTAGGATTTTTTTTATTTTGTTAACTGTTCTTCTTCTTAAGGTTTTTACAAAAATGATCAGTGGAAAATGTCATGACCCTAGGTCTCTGGTTGGGAGCCGGAAGGAAGCAAATATGTAACAGAAATCCAAGGAAATAATAATATTAATAATAATAATAATAATAATAATAATAATGATGATGAACTAAGTAAATACAAAGACATCGTGATATTAATTAATAGATGGTGGCAACTACAACTTTACCTGTTGTTTTTCTGGCTTTGGGAATGACACATAAAGTGTCAAACAAATATACGGACAAAATGCATGGTGGCCCTAAATTATGAAAATTGCAAAAAAGCCTTACTCATTTTGCGATGATTTTTACCTATGCAGTAAACACAAATATATTTTTCTCCTGGATTGCACGGAACCTTATCTGTTTGTATTTTCTGATAAAAAACAAACAAAAGAAGTTTTTTTTTGTTTTGTTTTTTTGAGTCTCTGAGACTTTGCGACAAACTTTGGTTTGGTCTGTTGTTTTTGTTTAGCATCATATCAATATTAATTCTATGGGTTATTTAATGCTATGATAAAATGTATTGTTGGTCATTTTTGTTTTGGTTGATAATTATACGAAAAGTTTATTGCTAGTATCGTTACTATAAAAATGTATTTTTGTACTTTATAGTGTTTTATTTTTGGGTTCCCTAATTACCCAGGTGCTACAAGCCCAGATCAGGGAACATCAGCAATTAAGGGGTGGGCCCACGCTTCTCAAGACCTCTAATCTCCCGATCAGAGGACTTGCTGTCAGCTGTAGTTTATCTTCATACCCAGAACGGAAATCAAAGGAAGTAATAATAATAATGATGATGATGATGGTGGTTGTGATGATGATGATGATGATGATGATGATGAGGAGGAGGAGGAGGAGGAGGAGAAGAAGAAGAAGAAGAAGAAGAAGAAGAAGAAGAAGAAGAAGAAGAAGAAGAAGAAGAAGACCATTTTAGCAAATAACATTATTATGGAGCTGAGCTATCGACCATTTCAGGTAAAATGACAAGAAAGCGTTAGTGGTACAATTAGCCTAAAATGAAGCAGACCGAATACTTTCTAACCTTCTCTGTTGAAAAGAAAGTGTCTTATATACCGGTAGGTAAAACGGATAAAAAAAAGAGCTGCAGTAAATAACGATAAAGATGCTTTATCACATTTTTGAGTCGACATTGTAACAAGTTTCAGCCTCGGTGCATTACTTCCATTAGATTCCGTCAGATTTAGTAAACTCGCGCATATATGCGGGCATGTATTCCTCGCATATGTGAATATGTTCGCGCGGTTCTTGACCGTGTTATTGCTCGGTCCGATTGGGTTCGTAAAGGTTATTTGCTGTTGAAGACGATGCTCTGCATGGAGAGGGTTAACTCGAGTGAACGGTCTGTATGCGAACTATTTGAAACGCTTGGAAAAAAATTGCTTTCGCCAATTGCTGTTTCAGGAAATAGCAGGTGCGTTCCGGAAAATGACCGGTATGACCCGGTTCGTTTCTTGTTCAATACCCTCCAAGAATTCTCATAGAATTTCGATGACAGAACTTCTTAATATCCTCTCATTCGCCGGCCATTGTGCCGAACAAGACTTGCTGAACGCCTGAAGGTGCCGATTGAATCTATTGACCAAAATACCCTGTTCAACGACCGAGATATCCACAAGGGGCTGCTGACGAGTCCTCGGCTCAACTTAATTTCTCACCTCTTTTATATCATTATTTGATTAAAAATATTTGACTAGAAGAATTTTTTTTTTATTTAGTAACTTGTTTATTTATTTTTGTTCTCTTTACATTAATTAATTACTGTTAATTATCGTTGTTAATTTCATACTACCCATCATTCACGTGTGTGGATGCAAATTTGTCCAGCTGGCCGTTTTGGTTTTGAGCCGAGTCTTTCTCAAAAAAGAATTCCCCTCTTAGACTAGATTTCATATAAGCGAATCAAATTTGTCTTTTGATATGCCTTTATATAATCGGACAAATCCACACTTTTTTCACTCGTTGTTTGAACTCTCCCACCAGCGTCAAACACAGACATTGGTAGGTAATTAGATGTGAGTTTATCTCTATATATAAAACAAAGGATGTCTGTCTGTGTGACACCTTTTCACTAGAAATCCATCCAACCGATTTTGAACAAATTTTGAAGATACATTGTACAATCTAATAGATAGGTTCTTATAAAAAAATCAATAATCAATAATCAAGTCGATCGAACAATCGATAAATTCAACTTTTTCCCTCCGATATGTATGTTACATGCGTCATGACGAGCTCAACGATACTTCATTTTATTTCTATGTCACTGCGTTTAGCGAAAACCGCAAAAAAACGAAAAATCGATTTCAACACAGATCGATTTCGACAGAAATCGATTTCAACACAAATTTTAAACTAAAACTTCCTCAATTTTCAAGCAATCTAATACAAACTTTACTCAATTGTAGGCAACAATAAGTTGATTGTTTATCAGTCATTCGTCTTGATAATTGAGTCCACCAATATAGTGAAAACGCGTAAATAAGAAAAAATGACGCTTTTTACTCGTTACTTTCTTATTTTTTCGTTAATCCTTCAACCAATTGTCATCAAACTTAACAATTGCTTTATAAATGTATCCTCTTTTTCATCACTGGTAGCATGCTGACAAAATGAATTTCAAAAACTCCAAAATAATTGCGGTCTGAAGTGGATCTTCATGTTGCCTGTTTTACCCCTTCATGTCCTTTGCTAACTTCGATTGAATAAATACAGACTACTTCTGTTATATCAGTAACTGCATCAATTCAAAATGTTTTTTAATGAACGTACTTTAAAGTAATTGAAGATGATAGGCTCTGTTAGATATAAACCTGATGCTGTTTTTGCCCCATTCCAATTGAACGCTTTTTTCTGTTCTTTTTAGGAGACAACTCAACTTAAACTCTGATAATAAAAATAATAAAAAATGAATTTGTTTATGATTTCTTCTTTTTCTCTCTCATTAGGAGTAATTAGGTTCTCCTCTTCCAGATTCACTCTCCTGCCCAGTTTCTGATCAGGAGTAGAGGTTTATCGATTGGTTCTTTCTAATGTCGACTTCAACTCTATACTTCTAACATCTCCGCCTAAACTCTGAACTATTATTTACTATTTATTTATTTTACCTCAATAGAAGTAAATAGGTTCGCCTACTGTTCAGTTTATACATCCTGATCTTTTGAACAGGAACAGACCTTCATCCTTTGTTTCCTATTTAAGCCTGGGTTTCCAGTTCCTTCTAAAGTCTACTTCAACTCTATACTCCTAATATCTACGCCTTAACTTTGAAATATTATTTACTATTTATTTGCGTATTTATTTGTTTTTGGTTCGTTATTTTTTTTATCATTTCACCCTAACCAAGGCTGGAATGCCACTAATACACCGGAGGTTACAGAGAAAGAGGGCGAGAAAAAGTGACGGTTATATTTAACTAATTCAACCGTAACAGGGTAGAACCTAAATGCTAATCTAATCTCACGCTCAAACTCACGCAGTCTGGACACGAGAGAAAAAGCTTGTCAAAGCAGAGGCCATGGAAATATTTGTATAAACGATAGAGGGGAGCCACGACACGTCGGTGAGAAAGTGACTGAAATCGAGTTGCTAAGTCAGGATCAATGACATTGCAGATCCTTTTTTGGATATTGTCAAGAGAACCAAGCTAAATATGGCAACAGTATTGAATGCACGGCCGAATGTTATTAGGTTGGTGCAAAAATAATTTCGTTTTTTTACATAGTAACATATGTTAGAAAACGAAATTATTTTTGCACCAACCTAATAGATTTTTAAATGTGGAAGATTGCCTCTGACGAGAAAAACCTTCTTGTACGACACAGAACTTTCCTTGCAGTAGATGCAGCTGTTGATTCAGTATATTCAATATATTCGTTTGAAAACGTCGGACCAAGAAGGCGCAGTATGTTGTTCTCCATGAGTCTAGCATCAGCCATGACGATGGCGGGCAGGAAAGTTTCACTATGGTGATTAAATGATTTCGTTTTGGAGGCATTAAAAATTACGAGCCATTGCTTGTCCCGGTTAAACTCTGATTTGGAGGTCCTTTTCAAGAGCAGAGACCGGATTTGATATTGAGGGAGGAGTAAACGTTAGTATCATCTGCATAAATGCTTACTTAGGAACTGATGACGTCAAGAGGATCATTGATGAAGATCAAAAAAATTATAGGACCCAAAATAGAGCCTTGGGAGACATCTACGTTCGTGTGAAGGGATCTGGAAGCCAGCTCGTTCAAAAGGACCTTCATATCACGATTTGATAGGAATGATTGGATTAAATCAGACAATCGTCCACTAATACCCTGTAGCTTACGTCGAAGGCCAGCGTACCAAACTCTGTCAAATGACTTCTAGATATGTAGTGCCACAGTTCGAGCTTCGCTGTTATTATCAAGAGCTTGATATACATATTCAGTGATGGTCGGTAAAACATCACCGATAGATCCAGTTAGAATTACTATTGGAAAAAATCAGAGATCTTCTTAGTGGATAATCTCAGAATAAAATATGATTTTTATCTATCTATATATATATATATATATATATATATATATATATATATATATATATATATATTGCCCTCTTAATTGAGACACAAAATTAAAATTTAAAAATAATCTCGTGCACCCCTCACCAGTAGTCATAGGGTCTGTACGCGTTTGAGCGGTTCGGAGTGGTAGCACCGGCCCTGTCGATATTATAGTTAATGGGGTATCTCCACATGGTGTAATGGTTAGCAAGCTTGTCTCGTTAAATGAATAAAAAATAGTTACGAGTGAATAGTGAGTTCGATCCTCACTGGGTGCCCCTTACTTTCGGTCTTGTGCCACATCTAAGCTACTCTTAGAAAATCTTCGATATTATTGTTGATGATCGACAATATAACTTAGGAGAAAAAAATTAATAATTACTAAACCAAAAAGCAAAAAAAAAAAAAAACGCTTCTGAAACTAGCCATTTTGTGGGCTCAAACCTCGTCCGGAGGTTTCTGTGTGGTACACACGGCACCGGCTATGCTGATAGACGATGTATATTATTAGTTGATGACTGACAGTGTAACATCAGTTTAAAAATAATGGCCATATAACAGTGCTGACAGAAAGGTAAATAAGCGTTACTAGAAATTTAATTTTAATTACTAGCCATTGACTTCTGATTAGTATTACTGTTAGTAAAAAAAAAAAAAATTAAAAACCCTTAATGGATGATCTCGGAATAAAATGATTTTACCAGATATATATATATATATATATATATATATATATATATATATATATATATATATATATATATATAACCATCTTAATTTATTTAAAAGAACTGTTCAGATAAAAAAATTACAATTAAAAAAAAATAAGCGTTACTGAAATTAGCACTTCTGCCCCGCTCTACGCAGTAGAGAGATTCGGGGTAATAAACACCGGTCCTGCCGATTATTTTAACTGATAATTTCACAATATAACTAATATAAAAGTTAGCAAAAAGTACAAAAAGCAAAAAAATGCTGTTGAAACTAGCCATTTTGGGGCCAATTAAAAGTCAGGTTTAAACCAAAATAGTAAAATGAAAAATAAGGTCAGAGGTAGGTGGGTTATTAATTGATGTCAAGATAAAGTGACGATCTAGACATGTCAGCGACAAAAGTATTGTATATGTAACCAAATAAAGAGTTCAAATTTGTTGAAGTGGCCATAACGATACCATGAACAATTTTTCTTTTTTTTTAATATTTCATTATATACTCAGGAAACTTCTTAAAAGGTCCAATAGATAAAGTTAAACAATAGAACATTTATATACGATGCTAAATATATTTAATGAACGGTAAAACATAGCAATATTAAATTTGATAAAATCAAGTAAATATGTATTCGGTGGACTATAGCATATTGTTTTTATTGTAATCTTTTAAAATAAAAATA